ATGAGAGCATTACTCTTGTAACTAACATGGTTGTAATAGGAAATGCAATAAATTCAGAATTATTATCTATGTAATTTTTTTTTTTACATGAAGTGATATTTCAGAGCTGAGTTCAGATAGCCAGTACAATAACACACCAAAAACATTTCTTAATATTGCTTCTTTTCATTTATCTATGGGAGGCAAATATTTTCTTTTGTTATTTAAAGAAGCTAAATATCTATAGAATATGTTTAATAGGCTCTAAATTCAGCTTGACTGAATTAAGAGATTTCTGTTGGGGTGTTTATCTAGTTTCTCCTTTGCCATTACTTGTTTCTCTTCAAGTCTGATAATCATCCACTTGTTTTAATATAAGTATTTTATCATTTCATCACAGAATGGAAAATACAGCTAAAACTTCCCACTTTTTTTTTTGATAGAACACAAGTAATAATTTAGACTAAAACTCTTTCAACAGAGAATATTTGTAGTATAAGCCTATGGAGTATATATTGAAAGATGAAATACAGCAGACTAGAGAGAATAATTTCTTGCTGGAAAACTTGTAGGGACTAAATGCAACAGCAGAATTGAACTCTGAACCATGAGAACCATAAGCAAAGTTACCATATTAAAACTCCATTTAATCAAGTCTAGCAAATACTAGTGAGAATTACTTGCTCCATAGTGAAGATTAAAACTAACATCTCATTATGAAACAAGAGATAAATATGCTAAAAGCAAGAAACCAAAAACTCTGAAATGCATGAGCTTCATCTTGACTATAGGTAGAGGATATCAGAAGAAAAAAATAATCCCTGAGAGAAGGTTGAAAGAAATCTTGGAAGAAAAATCAGAAAGGAAGTTCAAAACTGAGACTATTCAAGACTGTTTCTGCTTTTCCCTTTTCATTAACCTAGAAAATATAGATGAAATAGCTGGTATAGAATGGAAAACAAATCATAAAAGGGACTATTATTATACCAAAGAATCCTTACAAAAACTCCTGTTTGTCTTCATCATACCAACAATTCCAGAGTTTCTTTTACTTATTTTAATGCCTTAGATAAAGTCATTAAATGAGTACATAAACAGTTAAATATAATGTTTCTAGGAGATCAAATCCAATTTTTGGATAATCATATCAAAGACATACAGTGTTATGTAATTAGTTGTGGAAATGAGATGGAGAATTAAGTTGTTTATGTATCTTAAACACTACCTTCTAAAACTCAGGTTTGCCTTATAGATAACAGATTATTTTAGATATGATTATCTAAGAAAGGCCAATGACATCCTTATTGTCAAACTTCTATATCTTAAATTCTCCCAGATAGCTTGCTTTCTTCATCTAACAGGCAGATTAGCCACAAATCTTATTTTTACTATTCACAACCTAGACTCTTTCTCTGGGTTTTAATTATCTCAGCAGACTTGCCTGTCACTGTGAGCTGCTTCACAGGAACAGATTTTCTGCTGGAGAAATTAACTGTGACACTGTCATTAGTTTCCTCCCATCTTGTGCATTGTTCATACATATTGATAAAACAACAGTATAAACTGTATATTGTTTCTTTCTTACCTAGGGAGCTTGTAGTATATATGCATAAGTAGCATGGAAGTTTCATTAAACAAGATTTTACTGATTATAATACAGTTGTTTTTGTTGTGTGATCATATTTTGTAGTAATATATCAATTGTTATTAGTTGGCCTATTTACTGGAAATTCAGAGGCTGGATTCTTACAACTTACAAACCACTAGTACAGAAGTTCATAATAATTATAGTGAGATTTCTTCTTAGAATCCATGGTTGCAGCATTATTGTCAGATGTGGACAAGTTTTGCCAGGAATTTGAGGTTTAATCAGCATTTTTTATGGGTGGATGTGAAAAACAAAAGAATTTTGTGGGTATAAACAGAAAAATTACATTTTTCTCTGAACAGCTGTATAGTAGCCACTTTTAAAAGCTAAATAGTAAACACAGAAGGAAAGGGTTTCACACCATAGAATGTAAGGCAAAATATTTCTGGCTTCCATATAGTAGGAGTTATTATAGAGCACAAAATACTAAGTAAAAATTGGCTATATGCTTGGACAGCTGACACTTTAAGAAATGAGTTAGAAATCAGAATCCTTTTCAGAGCCATGACAGTTGCCAACCACTTATGGCTTTGGAACTAATTAAGAAGTGGGGAGTACACACAAATGCTTTATGATCTACAGTTTGTCATACCTATATTTTGTAGAGATTTTTTTTCATGACGAAGCTTTTGTGTTATGTGCAAAAATCAGATTTGTTTTTAAACCCAGTAATCATATTCACCTTAAAGTTAATATATCATTCCTTTGTATATGTAATGCATAACTGTAAGTCGGAGTTGGTAGATAAAGGTAATATCTCCTACTGACCAGTTATTATCACTGAAAAACATTGACAAGATTTGAACACACAAGATTTCTTTGTATCTGAAACAGAGAAAACATTTCAAGGGCAAAGAACAGCTGAGAAAAATTTCTCAGCATATCAGAAATATCACATATTTGAGAAGAAAGATAACTGGTAGATACAGTTGGAGGAGATGTTAGTGAAGAGTAGGAGAAAAGAAATGAGAGATTCTACTATATGTGTTTTGGGCAAAATAGTTGCAAATCCTGATTCAGTAATCTAACATGGATGTGCGTCCATCAAGGATATTTTTCCACGGAACTAGTTTGTAATTTTGAAAGACATGTCAAAAACCCATGTAAGGAATGAATTCTAAAAAGGAAAAGAAAAAAAAAAAAAAGACATAATCTGATAAAGGCGTTTTTCCTTGTGAAACATACACCCCCGATTTAAAATAAAGCCCACACATTAATAATTGTATCTCTTCTTTTCACATCTAAAGCTTTCCCCAGACACAAACTAGCTGTTATAGGTTTTTGTTTTGATTTTCTGAAACTAGAACATTTAAAAACAAAAAAAGGAATCTAATAATCTTATAAACTGTAAATTAAAACTTTAAAAGAAAAATATTGAAGGATGTCTTACTGTCCTATTGACAGAGAACAGGAACTATTGCTGCTTCTTGGTCATGCTTTTTTGTCAACAATTTCTTGACTGCCTGGCCACTTCTTACCCGATACAGGTTCCTCTCTATAAGGAACAATTTGGCCTCAGACTTGTCACCAGAAGTTTGTAGTTGCTATATAGCTGTCTTCTGTTCTTAGTGACTTCAGGGGCAGACTTCTTTTACCACCTCACAAGTGTTGTCTGTGGCATACTGAATGTCCTCAAGAAATACAAACCCCATCAGTTGAGGAATTTAAATGTCTTCTGATTCTTGATTTGTAAAGATCTTCATACATGGTTGATTGATACAGTTACTTTTAAACTTTCTCACTAATTGACCCTGGGATATAGACCCTAAAGGCATTAAGACATTTTTCCTTGTGAAGCAAAAACCAGTGAGAAAAAAATTATAGAGAAGCCATCGTATTTGGTGTTGTGAAAACAAGAAATGTGGGTTTCATTTATTCCTTCTTCTCCATGATTCATTACCAGGGACTTGATTTCATTCATGTAGGTGAATAGGTGTTATGCAATTGTTCTTTTTAGTCTCCTATAAGGCGTTAACAATCAGTGCACATGAAACTATATAAGTATGTAATTGGCACTATGTCTGCCAATAGTGAGATGCTCACAGCAAATGTAAAGGACTTATTTCCAAGTATTTATTCAAATTGATTTATTTATCATGGATGAATCAGTTTCAGCATGAATGATTGAAGCAGTCAAGTCAGTAGCTAAGATATACAAGACCAGGATTCAGGTCTGCTCAGTGAAGCAGGGAGGAAAATGAATCATGGATGCAAACAGAGAATGTATGTCTGCTGCTTGCTGACTATGGGATTTATCCAAGGTGTGTAAAAACCAAGTTCAATTCTTGGCTCCTTTATTTCAGACTTTTCTTCTGCAATTCAAGTAAGAATGTGATTTTGTTTGCTTAACCTGACAAATTTTTTTAGGATATTTGGAGCTTTAACTTGGTCTATGTGACAAAGATTGTTAGGCGTGAAGGGGGAAGCATCTACCCAATTCCAAATACAATCTCACTGGAAAATTAGGGTAGCAGCTAAGCAGTGTTTTAAAGATGGAAGCAGATGCCTAAAGAGATGGATTGATCTCCAAGTGATTTTGAGGATCAAATTCTATTCAGAGAAAGTGCTTTGCTGTTGAGTCACTTCTTAGCTGTATTCCGAGTGTTGACAGGCTGAAAGCAAACAACTTCTGGTTCTCTCTGGCTATCCAGAGTGTCTGTAACATCAGAGTGCTGATGGGTAGAAGAAGTAAAAAGGAGGAAAACTAGGATAGAGTACAAAATTCCTCACAAAGTGTATAACTTGGGAAAGTTAGCACACTTTATATTTTAGGATGGGAGGGAGATTCCTATTAGAAATAGGTACCTAATTTCTCTATCTTTTTTCACAATAGAGACCCATGGAATTACTTTAGAATTCTGCTCCTGAAATTAATAGGAAATAAAATTAGGTCAATATTCTAGAAAGTTGGGAATTCTGTACAAATATTGATATTTGTGCCATGCTGGATATTTGTTGGTTACAAGATTCTTTCTCTTATTTGTTCTTTTGAGTGTCCAAGTGAAGACGTAAAGATCAGACTTTTCTGAAATAAATATAATGTTATTCTTAAAGTGGCTGGTTTGATTTCTATGGGCAACTTACAAAGTAAGGTGTATAATCAAGAACATCAGAATCTGGTACTGACTTACCGAAAAGTTAAAATATATGGAAGCATATTAATTTTTATTCTTTTCTTTAGGTCTAATATTTCTGGATTTCAATATCTGTCTATAAACCATATTTGAGACTTAATGATATTCTGCAATGATACAAACAAATTACTATTTACTAACCATACCTGTGTAAATGACAGGAATTATCTGTTGGCCTAATCACATTGTATTAGTATTGAAAAATTGCATTTATTTGTTTATTTATTTTGTATTTTCAGGTAGAGATTGAAAAGCTGGACTATCATTACTATTTGCCTTTGTTTTTTGATGGGCTTTGTGAAATGACATTTCCATATGAGTTTTTTGCTCGTCAAGGAATCCATGACATGCTGGAACATGGTGGAAACAAGATTCTTCCTGTCATTCCTCGGCTCATTATCCCAATAAAAAGTAAGTGAACCTGTGTAAAAAATTTTTGACAAGTTGCTAATTAAGCAATAAAATACGACAGGCTGTACATTTCATGGATATTATTGAAAATGTAGGTAAATTGTAAGGGATAAGGCCAGAAGGTTTATGCCTTCAAACACCTGGTACATGCAGTAATCTAGAAGAATAGACTGTCTGGTTAGTGTTTTTCTTGTTACAATGTGGATCTTTGTCTTTGGAAATGTGAAGTGACATTTTCTTACCTGTATATTTATTATGTAAATCCATTACTGTATAAACCAGTTCATCTAAAATGACAGGAGAAATCAACAGATGAAACTTACGGAATTATGTTTCTTGTTGTGCTTTTGTTTATTCTACAGTTGTCTATTTACTCTCTAGATACGTTTTCTGTCATCATTCTCATTACTTTGCATATCTATATATATCTATCTAAATTGGGCGTTCTGCCTAATTAATGTTATGTGTAAAATTCTGACATTCCAGAAATAATAATTTTAAATTTTTTTTATATATTTGAACATAGTTTCTCATAGAAAAATTATGTGAAAGGTAATAAATTAATACAAGTGTAATACCACTAAAACTAAAACTTCTTTTCTTGAGACATCTAGTTTTTCAGTACTTTGAGGAGATACTATTCTGAATCATCATACTTCTTTATTTAGGTATCATGGTTCTTAAGGCTGCATGCTAAACCTATACTAAAAGTTGCTCATATTTGTTAAACTTGACTTCTGTTTTATCATGGATCAATAATGGTACCATTACAGTCCTTTGTCCTATTTTCCTGAGATGACTCAGCATCCATGCTAATACAGAACAAAACAAAGTCATTGTATTTGTGATACAGAATGAATAGAGTCAAATACAGTTTTGGAAAAGGGGAAAGGGAATGTAGTTTGGAGCCTGATAATACTAAAATAATTGTGTTAGAAGAGTGAGAATTTTGGTTTTTTCATTCAATTTGTTCCCCATTTAAAAAGTTTAATTATAGATGTCATTATCTTGCTGTAGATTTTGAAAATGTCAAAAGGAATATGTAATATTCAGAATGGTTACTCTGTAAGTGACACTTGTGAAAGGTTATGAAAATGTTACAGTTTTTTCTTTCTAAAATGGAAACATGTAAAGAGAGGAATCCTGTATTTCTAACACCACCTAAATATATTTATAGTAGTATAATTTTTATTGAAAGCTGAAATAGTTTCATCAGAAAAGACTTCAAGTTTATGACAACATCTACTCAGTTAGGATTTAAAGTCTTGCTGAGACCAGGATGTAGCTTAGAAATAATTGCCTGGAACCTTTAGCTGTTATGCAGCTTTTAGCATTAGAAAGAGACTGCTAGGTAAGGATATTTATATGGGTTTGATATGTAGTCTTTTAAATCAAGTAATAATTTATGATGCTGGAACACATTCAAGAATCTGCTAGCTAAATTTGGTTGTTGGTTCCGCTCTATTTTATTGTACAATGCTTATTTTTATATTTTAAAAAAGTTTATCTATTGGATTTAATGTGTGAAAAGTCAAAGTAAGATCAATTATAAGGGCTTCTTTCTAATTAAAATCATACTAGTATTTTAAAAAGACACCGCCATCTTAAGATTTATGAAAGTATGTACTTCTAAGAGTTTTTAAATTTGCTACAGCGGTCTAATATAGCAGAGTAGTCAGAGCTATACATTTCTGTGACTCAGCTGCATCCACAATAAACTCAGCTGTTTTACACATATTACTGTCGCTGAAGTGTCCCACTGGGTGAATTATATCTGATTAATCCGTTTTCTTCTAGACCACTACCATGTTTCTACTGTGAAAGGGTGAATCGATTGTTAGGCAAGGAACTACGTATGATGGAGGGGAAAGGGATAAAAGAAAGACAGAAAAATAACTCCACATATAGAGTGCTTTTAAAAGCACTTTTCTCTCCTGCATGTTCATCAAAGGAAAATATTAATAAAGAGCTGCTCTCTAAAAGCATTTTAAATTAAATATTAGAATTCTTTATTGTATTTTAATGATTTAAGGAGAAATCTATCTTCCACCCATCCTTGCTTAAAGTTCACACTTTTTGAACACTATATCATTAAAGATGAAATGTATATTATATAATGAATCTGGGGGTTACTGTAAACCCAAATCCTTTTAACAAATTTTCTCTGGTTATGCAAACAGGCAATGACTAACAAAAGGCAGACAACTGAAATTAACAGGTCCAGTTTCATTGCTAAAATACCTGAAATAAGATTAAAATAATATGGAAGAATGTTATTTAGTTGAAAAAAAAATTGTTTATTTTTTTGATTGTCAAATTGAAAGGGACTCTTATTTTTTGAAATTCAGAGGAAGAAAACAACCCTCAGGTTGGAGGCATTGAGAGAAAAATGTTCAAAATATATTTTGTTTTCTCAAAAATTCAAAATATATTGTACTTTGCAGTAGCAAAACATGATAAAATAGTTTAGAAATGTAGTCATTGCATGGCATGAAACCCAGGAAAAACAAATCACCTAGTATATTTCAAACTTGTAAGGAATCCAACTAAAAATAAAAAAAATGCAAAATCAGAAAATATGAAGTTGCTAAGACCTTTTACTCACTTTCACTGAAGGTGTAGGCAAACCCACTGTCTGAGGTATTTAAACTAGAGCAACGATTCGTAAATTGAAATATATGGCCATTAGCAAAGCACTTTGTAGAGTTGTTATGAAAGTTCTGATGTACAACACACAGCAGAATATTTTTTTTGCCAGAAAAATCTGTGGTGTTATTTCCATTGTGCAGACAGGTAAAAAGGTAGAAGGAGGATGATTTTGTCCCACATCGCAAATTGCATTGATGTCAGGGAGAAGAACAGAACCCAGACACACAGCCTTGGCATGGCAAGCAAAGCTGCCTGTAGGTCACATGAGAGTTCCATTATTTTTAGGGAACAGACAGATCTGTCTGGCCCCACCATGTCTTTCAATAATACACTACTGTATCTTAAAACTCAATTGTGGCCTACCATTACCTATAGCCAGCCAAGAATAGCCAAGGAAAGGGGTGTGAGAGTAGAGATGCCTACTGTACCATGTGCTTGCCAATGGAAAACCCCTGTTCTTAATTCTGTATGGTTATTATGGGAATGTAAAATTCCTTTTGATACTAATTTTTTTAGGTACATTATTGCCTTTAATATTGCATCTGCCATACAAATGCCGGATCAGAAAAGCTGTAAGTCCTTTCACTTGCTTTCATTAGTCTTCTGCAACTCAGATTTCTGACTGCACAGCTGCCCAGAGTGAACGAGACTTACATGTAGACATAAACACTGAGGGAGCACCTTTGCCTGGTATTTCTATGAGTAATATCAGCGACATCCACCACAGTGTGTGGAAGCACCTCCTCTCTTCTCAAAGGCAGTGAGCATGCTACCACTTATATTTTCTTTGCTGGCAACATAGGTGTAGAAGTTTGCAACCCCTTCAAGCACAAAATGACCAATCATTCCAGCTCCCACACTCCAGTTCATTGCAACTGACTTTTGCTAATGTAATTGTCTGTGGAACAACTCAGTGAATCTCACATCTAGATGTATTAATTAAATTTAAAAACCAAAACAATCCAAACCAAACCAACCAAACAAACAAACAGAAAAACAAACAAAAACCAAACAACCCAAACACCAAACCTAAAATAAAACCAAAATATTTTCAGGGTGTCATTTATTTTAAACTCCAGTCATTTCAATGGTCTAGTTTATAGCTTCACTGTCACAGATTAAGGAATAGTATACTATAGCACAGAAGTTGGAGTGAGTAGAAATGATCAGTAGGAATGTCTTGATATAGCTTTGCTAATGAATAAAATAATGTGAAATTAAACAGTTAAATATCTTGGATCACCCACTTGCCAGAATCTTTTTTGTTCTGTGATGTGAATCCTAAAATGGACATGTAGGCAATCTGAATTAAGGCCTAGAAGTCACTATAGCTCACTTAGATAGCACTTAGTCTTTGCACTTAAATTGGAACTTAGATGGAAGTATTGTTTCTACACAGTTCCAGTCAACAGACCAGAACTTCTGATTGAGTCCAAAAAGGATAATCTCCATCCTCAGGAACACTTAAGTTTTCCTTTTTGAGACTGCTTCCATGCTGTTAAAAAGCTCTTCTCTGACACAGTAGATCAAAGATACCTTAAACTTTGTTGAAAATGTTTCATTAAGGGAAACAGATTTTTTGTGAGTCAATTGCAGAGAAATGCACAGAGCAGTCCTCCCTCAGTGTCACCTACAGAGTCCTTTTTAATGTTTAATAAATTGCTAAATTAAAGTGATTTCTGTTTTCATATTCTCCACATTCTATTTGAATGTAAGATGTGGATTGTTGTATTGGATAACAGTGTAGTTAATTCCCATTTAATGTCAAATCAGTGTCACTGTTGCATTTAGATAAGTAAAGTTGAACCTCTTGCTAGCAGTTGTTCTAAGCACATTTATACGTATATTTGTCCTCATATATCTTCAATGTATTTGAGTATTTAATAGTCATTAAATACTTTCTTATTTGACAGAATGCTGAAATATTTTTATGGAATAAATATGGTTTTCTGGGCTGTAGTGGTTTTGTTTGGTTTTTTTTTGGTTTGTTTTTGGTTGGTTGTTTTTTTCTAAATCATGTAAGTTGATTTCTGTCATCCACAGAAATTAAATTAAACCTTTAATGGAATTGTTATCTTCCTCCTGACTGACTGTTGCTCTTGAGAACAAGTTCTGTTAGTTAAGATCACAGACTGAAAATTAACTCTAAACAAAATAGTTTTTATAGACTTAAAATGCTTTTAAAGTAAGCAAAAGTCTCATTTAAAAAAAAAAATAATTGTTTTGATTCTTAAATACCAAAGCATTTATCCCCTGCAGGTTCCATCAAGCAGTACAAGTGATTGCAATTAAAAGGTTTATGTTAGATTCTTCCACCCAAAACTGGTCATTTCAGGTAGTTTCAAATGGTA